TGCTTTGTCGGAGAGAGGAGATGTTCATGTCCTTGAGACCCAAAGTCTCGTTTCCATACGACAAGCGCTTTTTGAGGTGATGAGTTTTGGCTTGTTCTGGTCGGGTCGCAGTGCCGCAGACCATGCCATCGTCATCAGTGTCGAACAACTTCTGGCCATGTGACATTTCAAGGCGTTGAGACCCTTTCGTCTTCCTCCATGAGCAATTGTTTTGCGCCAGCATACCAAGTTATAATCAATACCATATGCGCACGGTCCGCTCAGTTCGAGTGACGAGGCTTTGTACTTGTGCACTGTACGCTGTACTGTTCTGTGAAGTCGTCTTGAAATGTTCTCGATTCTCCCATTACACCCATTCATTTGTGTTTATAGTGATTGTCTGAAATTGGTGCACTTCAAATCATTATCCCTAGGTAATGGTTGGGCGGAATTGAATACGACTAGCACATTTCCTATATGCTGTGCTCTGGAGAATTGATTAACCCTTTCACTGCCAGTTGACCACTCAAGGTGACAAGGCGCTCCCTGCCAGGCTGTCAGCTTAGCTGTACAGGCACTTTTACCAAAAATCGAAAGTCCAACTTTTCCTGGAATTTTCGGTACTTTCTGTACGAACTATCGCTTTCCAAAGTATACATCATAGGTACCGTATTTTTCCGGTTGTAAGTCGACCTTTTACGACTTAAAATAGAAGGAGAAAGGGTGGGGGTCGACTTACAACCGGAATTCGACTTGTAACCGGGAACTATCAGCATCTTACAAAAAATGACCTGAACTGCATGCACGAGTGCACTATGTGTACACATTTTTCCAGTTTATTGGTCTTTTGAAGGATTGGGATGTTATAACCTCCAACAAGGAATGTTTACATGATTTGTTGATGTGTTAATAGCAGGGAGGGGTTAGTAGGGCTTCTTTGGGTGAAAACTTTAAAACGCAGAATTGAGACCTCCGGATACAGGGGTCGACCTATAACCGGGGTCGACTTGCAACCGGTAAAATACGGTAGTCAATTCATAAAGGAAGCCATTGCCGTCGAAGAAATCGCCAAATCCGTACAAACGTGCTGCCCTCTAGCTCCAGCCGCTGCGCAAAAATGCGTGTCATGTCATGCAAAATGCGCCGCATGCGCTGCATACACTATGTACACGATCGGCCCGGACACTCGCGAAGTAAAGTTAGTTAGTTGTTCGTTGTTTTGGAGAGAGAAGCAGATCCTTTTTTTCGTTCGTTGGGATTGAAAGATATGCCAATGGACAGGAGAGCTACAATACTGGAAGCAGAAGAGATGGCTTGCGGAATCTTCTCTGTCTTCGCAACAGGACTTCAGTTGCGAGAGATTTCCGTCCTGTCGTTGCGGACGAAAGTCTTGTTGCTGCCACCAGAAAACTCGGAAACGAAACGTTCGTAAGTCGTTTGGTGAAGCGGATCGTGTCGGTGAACAGCTGCGAAATGTTCTGCCGCCGTGGTGGTCGTTTGTTCTCCCGATTAGCAGCAGTCCAAATACTTTTCAACTTTGGAGAGTGAAGCCCTTCCCTGTTCCGTTGACAAGCGCGGCGTTCTCGGGTGTAATGCACTTTCGCATCAGCTTGCAGTAGATCGTCAGGTATTGAGCAAGAGGTAGGTGTCGTTGTAGAAAGAATATAATTATGTTGTAGCTGACATACCTGTAGTGTCTCTTGACTGTGCTGGTCACCATGGTAACGTGGTAGTTCTTAGAAAAATTTAGTTCTGGACCCAGTGAGTGCCGCCAGCGCTGTTTCCGTCAAGTTTGCATTGAATGCGTCCGTGAGGAATTCATCGTTTGATTGTTTCTACCCGTGACTCCAGCCGCCTATCGCAACGGATACGCGCACCGGATAGCTGCCTGGAGTCTTGGGTAATAGCTAGGCATCAAGTCTGAACCAAATTCCATGCTCCGTGCAATGAAAGTTGACGGGAAAGGGGAAAATACTCGCACCGACTCTGGGAGGTGGAAATGCGTGAGAACCGATTTCTTCCTCGCCGCTGGGCAAAAAATCTGATGCGCATTTTCAACGACGCTGGTTCGATTTTTTAAAAATTGCAACCCATACTTCTCAAGTTCTGGCAGCGTATTTCGATGGGTATGGACATCTTCCAGGGCCCAGTGGCCGTTTACCACGGCTAAACATCTCCAATAGTCGAAAAAATAGAGGCCCAAACTGGGTGAGGTCTGCCTGTCGCGCACTGGGGACTGCATGTTTACTCGTCGACGCAAGTCGACAATGGCACTCGGAGTGCATGAGTGCGCTGTCGACTGCACTAACTGTCTTGCAATATCGATGTATGTGTAAAAGTACAAGCGCGATCTGAGAAACATCGACGCGATCACCGCCGCCGTCTTTTCAGCTGACTACTTTTTTTTACATACAGCATGCAGGACTGGCAGCCTAAGTATGTGTCAACACTATCTGCAGGGGCTGGATTTCCCTCGACGTGCGAGTAGTCTTGAGCTAAAGACAGTAAAGTGGTCTTCAGTTTCGTGTTTTCCGTTCTGTCGACAGTTCCCGAATCAGTTTGCTCGACGACAAGCTAGGCCTGGCGTCTAGGCCTATTTTGAGCATAGACAGGAAAAGCAACTAGTTACTTGTTGGCGCGCCTCAAGTCAGCTCATCTGTCAAAATCCACCGATCTGCACCCCTGGCCGGCTTCTCTGACTTCATTGCCGAAGTCAGCGAAGTCACAGGCGAAAGATACCATCAGCTCTTGGGTTGCAACCAGTGCTTCGCCTCTGTCTTGTTTGCATTCGTCTGGTCAGTTTGAACAGCTGACAGACTTGTTGCGGGATCATCGGATCTATGCACCCGCTTTCCGTTGTTGGCGATGTTGGACTCGTAATTTTTTTCGAAATTCACAGAATGTACATTGTACTGATGTAGTTACAACAAGAATCGTTTAGCCGATAAGCCGATCGTTATGGTAACTTATCAGCTAAGCCACTAAGGAAAAACGTAATCGTTTCAGCAACTTCAACTTGTGAAGAGTCGCTTTCTTTGCATCGTATCTCTTTCATGGCATGCCAGGGAAGACCGAGAAAGTAATCGTGACTAATTTCACGGCAGTTTGTGCGCAAACCAGTCCCTCAAAAATCCATCACAATATTTTTGTTTACTGAGGAAGTAGATGGAAAACCACTCGTTTTAAGGGCTACCGACCGACCTCCCGCCTGGCTATCCCCCTTTGAGGGAGATCTCCCGACCAAAGAGAAAATGAACTTGGCAGCTCTGAAATAGATGAAGTGCAACCACTGCAACTGCTTGTGGCTTAGCACCACAGCACATACCGTGTTTTCCGGTGTGTTGGCTGCACCTTGAATTGCATCCAAAATCGTCCTGCGGCTTATAATCCGAATGCTGGAAGTGAATCAGCCAGCTCTACAGCGCTCCATGCATATAATGAGTGTATGATGTCATTAGACTGTTTTTATGTACTGAAATTCATCATTCCACTTGCACAAAGCTTCTACATGTCAGTTCAGAGTGAAGGACAAACTAGGCCCTTTTTGCTATAACCTCAGTTGTTCTTCATAAAGGGTTAAGTATTTGTAATGTCTTGTACGTATGTATGTACAAGTACCCATTAAGTTAGATTGTCAAAAAGGTAAACGTCTGATGTGTAGCTTATACTTCACAACAAAAATACGAATTCTGGGACTTAAAAGGGGCATGTGGCTTAGACCCTGGGGGCTGGGGAAAACGAATGTCGCAATCGACCCGTGTCTGCTCCTGTGCATCAAGCACTAAATGTTGTACCACCCGACTTTGTAGGATATCACTGGAAATTAACCCTTTTCATACTTGGCCACTTTTCTCCTGTGAAAAAGGGGCCACACACGGGGCGACCCACCTACGCACACCCACACACACACACAAACACACACACATGCACACACACACACACACACCTTGACCCTTGACCTTGACATACCGCTGCCGTTAAACGGCTAAGCTGCCCTCAGGAGAGGAAGTGAACAAAGGGGTAGCATCACGGCGTCGCGGCAAAACATCCGGCCTCATGCCGCTGCAGATCCTGCTGCATGCGATATCTCTCGCCGCACGCACAGCGAAACTTGAACTCAAGACGCTCCCTCGCTGTTGGTCGCTTGTCACGCTCGCAATTGTGCCGTTTAAATCTAGCAGCAAATCGAAATCACGGGTCACATGACGGGCAGTGGAATGGGCACACACACACACACACACACACACACACACACACACACACACACACACACACACACACACACACACACACATGCACACACACAACACACACACACACACACACACACACACACACACACATGCACGAGCACACATACACACACACACACACACACACACACACATGCGCGAGCACATGCACGAGCACATGCACGAGCACACATACACAAACACACACACACACACACACACACACACACACACCTGGTCCTGGTCGAGAGAGCCATCTCTGGCAGCTATATGATCTGGATCATCAGCGGAAACGATTCCTCACTCTCTCTCTCTCTTTCACACACACACACACACACACACACACACACACACACACACACACACCATTGGACCATTGGACGCCCATCGCCGGAGGCGATGATAGCGATGCTACAGCAGAAGCCATAGCAGCTTGTGCTGGGATTGCACCATTCAACAGGTTGCAAGGCTGAAGAATTGACCGCCACTATTCAGCCTGGTCTACACCACACAGCTATGAAGTGGCTTTTTCTTTTTTCACACACACACACACACACACACACACACACACACACACACACACACACACACATGCATGCATGAGGAGGCACGAAATTGAGGTCTGGGAGTCCTGACCATGCCAATCATCTACTGTCAGGGCTCACCACGACCCTACAAAGCGTCCATAACGGTCATTTGGATTTGACCAATCAGCACACGGCAAAACTGGCTGTTTCTTGCAATTGTGGGGTGTTTTCTGAGCTGAACTTGGCTGTATTCGTTGGTTTTAGAGATCAGGCCATTGTGGATTTGTGTTCAGGTGTGTCTTTGGGGGGTTGCATCCTCGAATTTTTCGATTTGGCCTTCGTTTGGCTGAGATCCGATGGTGAAATCACTCAAACTCGAAGACGTGCGAACAAGTGAATGAAGAGAAAATTAGAAATCGGGGACGATAAACCGATAGAGAATTCCAAGACCTTGAAAATGAGCTATCGATGGTGAGAATCGGCCAAATAGAACCGCTCTTTTACTTTTATGAAGACATCAAGGTCGGCCATGCGTTCCCGCACGCACCAACAAAAAGTGTTAGCCGTGCACATATCTGCTGGTGCAACAAGAAAGGACGGAGGAGACAGCAAGCGTACCAAGTGAAGAGTTTACCTTCGTGTTGACTCAAGCTAAGGACTCCGGCCAGTCAGAGATCATACCAGTCGCTTGTCATCATGGTCATTACTACAGTCCATTCAGAAAAAAATGAACTTCTAGCTTTTGGCCATAAATGGGTCAAACGTTGAGTTTTTTTAGAATTTTTTTCTGCAATCCCATATGGAATCCTCTTCCAATTATGTTTCTGAAGTTTTTTTGTCCAAAAAGCAAGCCATAGCAAGAATAGGATTTCGGCCAGGTTTTGCCCCAAAAGCACTGAATTGGGAAAAACCATCAAAATCCAGGCCGTTTGACCCCGCCTGCAACAGTGCATTCTGCGGTTCGAACCCCAGTTCAGGCACCCTTTTTGGACCCTTTTTCAAATTTCAAAGTTCGCAGCACTGCACTGTGTACGATGAAATCACGAAAAATCGCCAAATACGGGAGCTCGCCAGAGCCAGGACCCATTTTTTTATGAATGGACTGTACAAGGGATTTATTTGTGGCCAGGAAACTCCCCACTCGCAGCGTGAAAGCTGCAAGGTCAAGCAGAAAAGAGTGTGCAGAGTCGCGATCAAGAAACGCTGAGCTCTACTGACAACATTGGTTAGCTAGGCGCGGGAAATCCTTGTAGATGGCAGGACTCCAGTTCACCAGTACCTCACGGAAATAATCTTGATCGACACGCACCACCGGATTGAGAAAAAACCAAGATGGCTTGGAGAAAGGACGTCTTCCCTGCGTGTCTTTCCCAACATCAAACAACAAGATTCGCTTGGGCACTGGCCCTTCGCTGTACAGACTAGACCAGGGAGTCGTAAAATACCGGTATATTACGACTAGACTGTACATGGCTGTACATCGATCAGCATGAACTCGGGTGCGTAGCCGCTATGACTGCACAAACTCTGGCCTCCGTGGCCGTCGCCATTTTTTCAAAATGGTAGTCGACACTTTTTGAATTTTGTATGGTCGTGGTGAGCCCTGACTGTGTCTAGCATAACTTGGGGAATAAAAGTAAATTGATCAACTCATTTCTGGTGTTGTGTGTGTGTGTGTGTGTGTGTGTGTGTGTGTGTGTGTGTGTGTGTGTGTGTGTGTGTGTGCGTGCGTGCGTGCATGTGTGTGCGTGCTGTGTGCTGTGTTCTGTTTGGGAACAATGAAGGAGGAACTGGAACTTCGAACTGGTGGGTTCCAATCTGTCTGTTCGATTTTAGAACATCTTTGTTGTAATGATGTTTGGTTAGCAGTCTTCAAGTGTGAGCTATTAGAGAAAACAGAGACAGAGACTGTGACAGAGAGAGAGGGACATAGATTAGATAGCTCATGTGGATAAGTGCCGTTGCTGTTTGCGTTATGCAGAGCTCACTGACTTTTCAGTTTGAGCACTCTGGCTGGGTACGTTTGGGCTTGGTTTAAATCTGGCTTCGGAAAATTTGTTTTTCATTTCTACCAAGTTCGGCCTCGTTTTCTCCGTGCTGCGCTGATGAGTCCACAAAGGACGAAACTGTGCTCTCCGCAGATTGATTAGATAGATAGATAGATAGATACAAAGCAGTACTTCCTCTGGAAACAAATACTTCGTGACTTTTTTTACTACTTTCCGCTGCTGTCATTTCGCTCTCTCTCTCTCTCTCTCTCCCTCTCCCTCTCCCTCTCCCTCTCCCTCTCCTTCTCCCTCTCTCCCTCTCCCTCTCTCCCTCTCTCCCTCTCTCCCTCTCCCTCTCGTGGGTGGAGGGGGGGGGGGGGGGGTTGGAGGGAGGGCAAACAGGAAGAGAATAAGCAAAGGGGTGGGGGGGGGGGGGGGGCTCTCAATTGCTTTTGTGACTGGTAAACTCTGTTGTACTTGAGACATTCTACCATTTCCCATGATAACATGTACTAATGATTGTTGCTGCTACTGCTGTTGCTGCTCTTCTTGCTGCTACTGCTGCTGCTGCATTATTATTGTTCATTGTAATGCAGCTGCTGTGGCTGAGGACATCATTGGTGGCAAGGACGAGGCCAGCGTGGTACGTGTGCGTATGTACCTTGTCGGCAAGTACGCCACAGGAAAGTCCAGCTTTGTCCGTGCACTGCTCGGTGAAGAGTTCATTGAAAACGCAGACAGCACCGACTCCATTTCCATCCATCGATCCAGACTCAGAATGCATCTCTCCTCTCAACTCGCCACAGGCACACAAGAAGCCGCACAAGTTCTTGTGGACAACAGTCAACATAGTTTCTTTGTCAATCTACTCACAGCTCGTATCCGATCATCTCTAGATCTGGTCAAGAAAATCAAGGAGGCTCCAGAGCTACCCATCGCTGCACAACCATCAGCATGGTCCAAGCTCAAGAAATTCACCAGGTCACTACTTCCACCAACAAAGAGTACTCCTTTGGCTACTTTCCCGGCTACTGGTGGAGCAGCAGCTACATCCGCTGTCCACAATGAGTTTGCCAATGTTCCTCATGCTAATGACCTGACCAAAGTGGCACCAGATGTTATCTCTCAAGTTCGCTCGTCTGTCAGCAATGTCGATAACAGTTCAAATGGAGAGGAAGCAGCGTATGCGTTTGTTGAGCTGTGGGACATGGGTGGACAGATGCCGATGTTGGTACAACAAAGCATCTCGTTTTCAATTTGTGACAGCGTGTACATTGTGACTCTTGACATGAGGTGTGACCTGGATGAAGAGGTAACGGAAGACGTCTACCGCTTCGATGGTCAGGAGATTGTAACTTCTATACCGTTGCCAGGAATGACGCAGGCTGACTACCTTCACATGTGTCTGTCACTGATTGCTTTGCAGCATAGAGCAGACACACACCCTGACCAGCATCACCACCAGCAGCAGCAGCAACAGCAGCAGCAACAGCAGCAGCAGCCGCAACAGCAGCAGCAGCAGCAGCAACATCAGCAGCACCAACAGCAGCAGCATCAGCATCAGTCAGACACAGAGGCGGGTAAGAGCAGTAGCAGCAATAGCAGCCACCATCATGATGAGTGTAGCACAGCCATCATGGTTGTTGTTACCCATGTGGATCTTGTCGACGACGACCAAATAGAGAAGAAGAAGGACATGTTCTTCAATGCCGTGTCCAAGCTGGCTGAAAGGGCCGGCCCCAACGTCAAGGTCTGTGGACCCTTCTTTGTTGACAATCACCGTCTTCAAGATCGCGTATCTCGCCACAGCCAGCTTGCTGAAGCACAGCAAGAGCTCTCTAGAATTGTGTCTGCCTTTCCTGTCCAAGCAATTCCCTTGATGCAAGTGAAGATAGAAGAAGCTATTTCTCTCCACCAAAAGGAAATGCTTCGCTATGCAAAGGCTGGGTGCAGTGATGATGCAATGCAAGCTACCAGTAGTGAGCAGCAGCAGCAGCGGCAGCAGCAGAGTTTTGTTAGTATGGACTACCCACAGTTTGTAGACTTTTGTCGGCATGTTAGCGGCAAAGATCTCACCACTGCACAAGTGTCTGATCTACTGCACCACCTTCAGCAACATGGCACAGTGTTTTGCTGTGACTGCCCGCATCCACTCACTTCAAGTGTCATTTTCCTTGAACCCCAGCAGCTGTTACTCAACTTTGTACGCTTGATGACCTTCCCTCTGAAGGAGACAGCTTTTCCAAGCACCTCAGCAACATTAGTCAGAGAAGTGCAACACTTTCGACGTACGGGAATTGCCAGCGCGATGTTGATAGAGAAAGTTTGGTATCCTCTCAGCCGTGTTGTCCAGCTAGCTCTCTGCAAATCCATGTGTTACTTCAACTTGGCAGCAGAACTTCAGCCCGCCAGCAGTGCAGCCACCAGCAGTACAGCCACCAGCAGTACAGCCACCAGCAGTACAGTCACCAGCAGTACAGTCAACAGCAGTACAGCCACCAGCAGTACAGATACCAGCACCGGAGGGTGTGGCAGTAGAGTCGGCGGCAGCAGCAACAGCAGCAGCATCAGCAGACAAGACAGATGTCCGGTTGTCACGTCAGGCCTACCCGACCTCTTCATCCCGTTCTGTTGCAACCAGGAAGCATTACGGTTGGTTTTGGAGGATGATGTTCCCTTTAAGCTACCGTTTAACCACCTCAGCTTCCCTGGGATGCTGTTTCCTCCACCACTGTTCGGTCGCTTAGTCACCTACATAATTCATCGTATGAAGAAAGAGTCAGCCAGTCTTCAGTTCACATCCAGTGCGGCATCACTGAATTTGGAGGTTGGTTGTAGCCAAGTATGCCTCTGCTGGACACCGACAGGTGTTCGCTTAGAATGCGCTGCTGCTACACCATCCATACTTGCTGATGTGGCTTGGGATATGAAGAGTGCAATTGTTGACTTCACACAAGTTCTCAGCACCCAAGGGTACCGGCAGTTCACAGTTGTTGGTGAGTCTTTCGCCTGCACTTCCGCATCATGCCAGGATCGCCTGAAGGAATGCAGCAGTCCTGCAGAGGTGCTGGTACACTCGTCGTGGGTGTTGCTAACCAGCTTGCACAAGAAGCATTTCTTGACGGCATACGAGTCAGATGGGAACACCGCCCTGACCTTCAAGGCTACGTGTGCTACCTGCAAGGAGAAGGTCATTATTCCGAGGTCCTTCTGGCCCTGGCTGCGTAAGGATGTGCCATTTGTCCAAGCTGAGGTGAGTTGTGAAGATTTTCTTCCACTGTCTTGTATGGTTTCAGCATACACTTGAAATGTCAAGCTGCTAGAATAGATACTTTGCTGCAATATCTACACCATCATGTGACTGATCATGTGACAGTGATCATGTGACCGTGATCGTGTGACAGTGATCGTATGACAGTGATCGTGTGACATTGATTGTGTGACAGTGATCATGTGACAGTGATCATGTGACAGTGATCATGTGACCGTGATCATGCTCATGTGACTGTGATCATGTGACTTTAATCGTGTGACGTTGAGGATTTGACTGATCAAGTGACCGTGTATCGTTTTTTTAGTTTTCTTGTTTTCTTCAAGGAGAAGTAGTTTCTTTTCAGCAATACTCAATAGAATTCTACTTGATCAAAAGCTAGCATAGAATTGCAATGCACTACGAATGGAGGATAATTATTATTTCACGGTATACGTCTGTGGAATGGGCCTGACTGAACTTTTCTCTTGTTTGTGTTTCTTGCCTGCATATCTTCGGATTTCTAAAACGATTTCAGCAGCCACTAGCAGCAGCAGCAGTGCCACCAGCAGCAGTGCCACCAGCAGCAGCAGCAGTGCTACCAGCAGCAGTGCCACCACCAGCAGCAGTGCCACCAGCTGCAGCAGTGCCACCTGCTTCAGCAGTGCCACCAGCAGCAGTGCCACCAGCAGCAGCAGCAGTGACACCAGCAGCAGTGCCACCAGCAGGACAAGCAGCAGCAGCAGCAGCAGCTGCATTACCTCTGCCATCATCATCATCAGCAGCAGCAGCAGCATTGGAGTCCGCATCAGCAGCAGCACCAGTGCCACCAGCAGTACAATCAACAACAGCAGTAGCATCATCAGAATCATCTACATCATCATCATCATCACCATCATCATCAGCAGCATCAGCATCACCACCAGCAGCAGCATTAGCACCCGCAGAGGCAGTTTCATGCCAACGGTCGACATCACCGTAAGCACATAGACTTGTTGTAATTCAAATCATGTGTACATGGTACAGGTATTGCTTCACACCTGATCTCAATTCTACCTTTCATATGCTAATAGCAATGTTACTCAAAGTCCCAACCACTATTTTTGCAATGTTACTGGAAGTAATGCCATCATAACGAGGTGTTCTCTTGCTTGTGTGTGTGTGTGTGTGCGTGTGTGTGTGTGTGTGTGTGTGTGTGTGTGTATGTGTGCGTGTGTATGTGTGTGTGTAAGTGTGTGTGTGTGTGTGTGTGTGTGTGTGTGTGTGTGTGTGTGTGTGTGTGTGTCTGTGTCTGTAATGTCTGATTTAGGGAGAAGCTTGTACCAGAAGATGGTTTAGCAAAGGTACTCCAACCGGAGCTTAACACTAACCAACCATGTAAGTCACTTCAACTCTACAGAATAATATTGATTTCTACAAACAATAGGAGGACAGAGAAAGTGTTTCTACTCCGAGCTTTACGCACTAAGCGATCATCAGAAAACTTTCTCTGTCCTCCTATTGTTTGAACCGGCTCTACCTCTCGGTATTGAGCACTCTCTTGGATAGCCTGGAACCTCTCTGTGTTTAATGATTTCTACAGATGTATGCATAGTGGTACAGTGAAACCTGTCTAAGGCCACCCCTCAAGGGACGAGAAAAAGTGGTCTAAGGCCACCCCTCAAGGGACGAGAAAAAGTGGTCTAAGGCCACCCCTCAAATGACGAGAAAAAGTGGTCGCCAGGGCCAGGTGGTCTTCTTATCCAGGTTCAGTGGGTCACGTGACCATATCCACACATGTGATCCATCATTTTGATCAGTGCATCGCAGTGCACACACCTACATGTATGCTCCTCTAGCATGACTCATGTGCCTGGGGTCCTCAGACCTGTCATGCACACACCTACATGTATGCTACTCTAGCATGACTCATGTGCCTGGGGTCCTCAGACCTGTCATGCACCATGCACCTGTACATGTACACAGTTCCTATACTGATCATGTGTAGATGTAGCATGCAGCCTGCTGCACCACGCAATGCGTACATTTACATGCACTAGCACTGTGCAACGCGGTCGCGGGTGGGTGGTCGGTCGCGCTGAGCGAGTGGTCGCCTTATCCGAGGAGGTGTTTTGAACGTGAATGCGTCCGTGACAAGGAAAAGTGGTCGCCATGGTCGAGTGGTGGCCATATCCGAGTGGTCGCCATGGTCGAGTGGTCGCCTTATCCGAGTGGTCGCCATGGTCGAGTGGTCGCCATGGTCGAGTGGTCGTCATATCCGAGTGGTCGCCATGGTCGAGTGGTCGCCATATCCGAGTGGTCGCCATGGTTGAGTGGTCGCCATATCCGAGTGGTCGCCATATCCGAGTGGTCGCCATGGTCGAGTGGTCGCCATATCCGAGTGGTTGCCATGGTCGAGTGGTCGCCATGGTCGAGTGGTCGTCATATCCGAGTGGTCGCCATGGTCGAGTGGTCGCCATATCCGAGTGGTCGCCATGGTTGAGTGGTCGCCATATCCGAGTTGTCGCCATGGTCGAGTAGTCGCCATATCCGAGTGGTCGCCATGGTCGAGTGGTCGCCATGGTCGAGTGGTCGTCATATTCGAGTGGTCGCCATGGTCGAGTGGTCGCCATATCCGAGTGGTCGCCATGGATGAGTGGTCGCCATATCCGAGTGGTCGCCATGGTCGAGTGGTCGCCATATCTGAGTGGTCGCCATGGTCGAGTGGTCGCCATATCCGAGTAGTCGCCATTACAGATTTTACTGTATATGCAAATCATGAACTATAACTTATGTCACCTTTCACGTGAAACTAAGTTGTCTGAGTTTTTCACAACCACAGGATTGCCACCACCCGCTAGGACTAAGGCGCAGATGCAGCTCATAAAGCGGTAGAAGATGAATAGATCTGAGCTAGCAAACAGACTGAAAACCTCATTTGCCCTATCCATGCTTCCCTTGTGCCAAGCCGCCAGTTTACAATTAACTACTCGTATGGGTTGCGTCACGGCTGGAAACATCCTTACACTTCCAAGCAGGACATAAACTTGGATGTGTGTATGAACATTCATCCATTCTTACGAGTTGACATAATGCAGTCAACTTTGCGTATAATGACACTCGGCAGTGCATCAGAAAAGTGACCTTATTCGCGAAGTGTCCTTAAACCCAAAGTATATGTATTACATTTAGATGGGCACTTTCCTCTGGGCATGGAAATTATGTTGTTATTCACGAATTGTGGTTATATCCGCAGTCGTTATTAGCAAAGTTGACTGTATATACATACCCAACGCAACATTAAGACAACTCGTTGCTTTGCATGTGTGGATGTGTGTGTGTGTGTGTCTGTGTGTGTGTGTGTCTGTGTGTGTATGTGTGGTGCATGCGTTTGTGTGTGTGGGGAGGGTTGGCATGTACAAAAGTATACATGACATACTGAAATGGAGCCACATGCATGTAGCACAACAGTGATTTAGATGCCAAGAATCCTTGCCAGGTTAGCCATTGCCATGGTATAAGCATACTTAGATCAACCACTGATGATGTACAGGTCCAGACTGGAGTGATGCACATCGACACTCTAGAACTTGCCTGTGTTAACCTAATGTGTACGGCTGGCCATAAATCATTTTTTGTCTGTTTGTTCATGTTTTATGCCATGTATATCTTGCTTAGATGAGGACGAAAATTCGTACGGCGACCCATTCAAACAAAGTGCCTTCATAACCCATATCTCACCTTGGCTGGGCACATTACCCGCAGGAACATTTCGTAAAATGGCTCAAGAGGCCAGGTTCTTTGCCGATCTGGAGCAGATAGACGACTTGAAGAGGATTGAGAGACGAGATGGACCACGCGCTCACAACGAGGAGTTGGTCAACATTGTAAGCAGCGAGGAACAGGTCGGCTACATCAAGCTTGTGAAGGTCATCAAACGCTGGGGTAAATATCCCAACAAGGTCGACAAGATGAACCAGCTGCTGCCACGACGGGCCCGTGTGTAAACGGTAGGTTGCGTTCATTTCTTGCACTACCTGAATTCCGAATAAGTCATTGTAACGTACGTCTCTCGTTTGGCTGTGATGATGTATTTCTCATCAGATATTGTCCCAGTTGTGATAGAAAGTATGCTGAATAGGTATTCGTTGTTCATAAATCAAGTTTGAGAAAAGTCAAATTTTCTTGCGACTGGAAATTTGGAGCACATGTACTGATATAATTATACGATATTTTGCGGAGTGTTAGCCGAACCTTAAAACACCTGAAAACTATTTAAAATTGTGTGCATCAGTGTGGATTTACGTGTATGTGTGTATGTGTGTATGTGTGTGTGTGTGTGTGTGTGTTTGTGTGTGTGTGTGTGTGTGTGTGTGTGTGTGTGTGTGTGTGTGTATGTGTGTGTGTGTGTGTGTGTGTGTGTGTGTGTGTGTGTGTGTGTGTGTGTGTGTGTGTGTGTGTGTGTGTGTGTGTGTGTGCCATATGGTGCAGTGGTATGTGCAGCAATTTCCAATCGATAGGTTGCGGGTTCGATTCCCGATGATTATGGTCACACACGTCTTTCTTCTCTTTCTCAGACTCCTCCTGACTTTTCTTTCATTCTCCTGGGTGGTTACCAACAGCCAGTGCATGCCGGAGTATGTGGTGTGATGTGTGTGTGTGTGAAAAAAATGAAAAAGACCAAAAGTAGTGATTCACTGGCCAGAAAAAGCCATTTCATAGCTGTGTGGTGTAGAGCAGGCTGAATAGTGGCGGTCAATTCTTCAGCCTTGCAAGCTGTTGATGGTGCAATCTCAGCACAAGCTGCTATGGCTTTTGCTGTAGCATCGCTATCATCGCCTCCGGCGATGTGCGTCCAATGGTGTGTGTGTGTGTTTGTATGTGGGTGTTGTGTGTGTGTGTGTGTACATGTGCATGCATCCAATCCATTCTGGCTCCGGTGTATGCTATAATGTGGATCGTCTTCGTGTTTCGTGCGGTATTCTCTGTTTGCTCCGTCACAGATGGAGGTTTCAAGCACTTCAAGCAGCAAGTGCTGGTACCGTCTCTCTCTCTCTCTCTCCCTCCTTTTCTCTCTCTCTCTCTCTCTCTCTCTCTCTCTCTCTCCCTCCCCTCTCTCTCTCTCTCTCTCTTCTCTCTCTCTCTCTCTCTCTCTCTCTCTCTCTCTCTCTCTCTCTCTCTCTCTCTCTCCCTCTCTCTCTCTCCCTCCCCCCCCTCTCTCTCTCTCTCTCTCTCTCTCTCTCTCTCTCTCTCTCTCTCTCCCCCCCCCCTCTCTCTCTCTCTCTCTCTCTCTCTCTCTCTCTCTCTCTCTCTCTCTCTCTCTCTCTCTCTCTCTTCTCTCTCTCTCTCTCTCTCTCTCTCTCTCTCTCCCTCCTCTCTCTCTCTTTCTCTCTCTCTCTCTCTCTCTCTCTCTCTCTCTCTCTCTCTCTCTCTCTCTCTCTCTCTCTCTCTCCGTGGTGTGTTCTCTATATTACTGACTGGCTATGCTGTTCATCAAATCCGTTCTTTCTTAGTCATATTTACCAAATTGTAGCAGCATTATGTTATGCTTGATGACTACCCCACTAAATATTTCCTTCCTCTATATAAATATACTCCCCCCTCCCCACCCCTTGTCCCTACTCCTCCCAAGTTTTTGGTGCACTGAAGTGTCGCTGAAGCCGAGACCTCAGGTCGGCAGAGATGCTCCAGTTTCACCACCACAGTTGCGTCTGCAACCACCTCTATCATGCAGTATTCTGTTCTGGAGGTTCGTGGTTTCCCGTAAAAAAATGAAATATTCTAGTAGGTTAGACAGTAAAGACAGCTAATTGTAGAGGACCACACCAGGTTACTTTGCCCGTTGCAGAATTACTACTTATAGTCATGCAGATACTTGAAACTTTTCTTTTGAATTTTATGAAAGCATATATTGGAATATTTTCATTATGCCGAGGTATACCGAGTAGGTTAGACTATTTTGTATGTATGTATGTATGTATAACTCATAATCACAAGGTGATCGTAGAGGCATTAATCAGCGAGAGAATTGTGAATGATGTCTCTGAATCCAACTCTATCGTGTGCTGCATGAGAGAGAGAGCATGCAAGGGAAGACCCGTCCAACTTTTAATGTTAGAAATCCATGATGACTATTTTATTTTATTTTATTTTTTATAGACTATTTTAGTGATATAACATATTTTGATCAAGTTTCTTCTTTTCGAAATTCCAGTCACTTATACAATGTCATGTACATACACAATTATTACAAAACGTAATTTTAAGTTTGCGCTTTCAGAATTTCATTTTCACTTCAATACTGTAACAGTGCCATGATTTCAGTACCATTGGTGGTGGGTCACATGTTGTACAAACTCTAAAACAAACATTTTCTTCTCATCAGAACTTGGATGTATAGTGCCTCGTCTACAAAGTTCAGTTTAAAAAAATTCCTTGAAGATAGAGTCAGCCTGGTAAATAACAATCTAGGTTAAAACAACAACTAATGAATAACCACACATGACTTTACACCCAGTGACCATTTCACTACATACTTCAAGCTCACCGTAATAACAAGAGTAGATAAACAAGAGTGTGCAACTCCGGATCTCTTCTGCACTATCTGCAGATACCCCGAATTTTTTGCTGATGCCACCTTTTTTCAGGAAAACGTGCATTTTGCCGCAGAGCACAGAGCAGTGTGAGAGCACGTGCTGGGCACAAACCTTATAATGTAAAGCCCGGCCAAGTGCACGAGGACTTACTTTCCGAAAGACTCGCAGCGCATGCGTCGTCGAAAAGATTACGTCAACAAAAAAATTCCGCGCGGGCCAACCCATCCCGGAGTTGCACACTCTTGTGTATCTACTCTTGCTAATAACATACTCCCGCGAATAGCGATGTTGTACTCATGTACGATGGAGCACAATTACCAAGCAAGTGGCAACATGTCATTTCGTTCAATCTCCCAAGATTCCCATGACTAGATAGCACGTTTTCTCTGTCTGCGGTCATTAGGCAATGCTGGCGATAAAAATACAACAAAATTCTATTGTATGCAATATGCACTCATTTGCACAGTACGCGGAGCACAGCGGACTAGTTATACACCCAAACGGAAGAAAAATACACCCTGCCCACTTTGAAAATAATAAAAAAATATGCTAGGTAAGTAATTTGGATGTGTGCACAATTTCGACAAATTCGAAAGGGCTACTGCTGGGCCTAAATACCATGCCCATGGTCAAGATTGTATGGTTTTCGGTCGAGCAGTCGAAACAAATGTGTCTCACTTGAACACCAAGTAGAGCTGCCGCTGTTGTGCCAAGGCCCATTGGCGCATGGTGTGTATAATCCAAATCTACATGTATGGTGATGGGTCACTGCTGGCGTTTGTGCTCTTGGACAGTGCAACGCTGCGTGAAGATAAGTTGTGGCTCCACAATCGCTGAGAACGTTAGTGTGCGTCCATGGAATACTAAAGCACAACAGGCGCGGCACAGCTAACGCCCACTTGCATGAATCGGTCGACAGTGGTGGCGAGTGCATTCTCCTTCCTCGGTGAACACTGCTGGACACCCTGTTTGATGATCCACCAAACACCATCGGTGCAGGCCGCGTTTTTCGGAACCAGCGATTTGGTCGTCCACCAACAATTGTTTCTCACTTGAACACTCTGTAGAGCTGTCGCTGTCGTGACAAGGCCGTGTATACTCAAAATCTACATGTAGGATGAAGAGTAACAGTTACTGCTGATAATGAAGTTTGCGCTCGTGGACAATACAACGCTGTGTGAAGTAAATTGTGGCTCCACAATCGCCCAGAATCCTAATGTGTCTCCATGGAATACAATAGGCGCGGTGCAGCTAACGCTCAACGTGGATGAAACGGACAACAGCAGCGGCTAGAGCGTTCTCCTTCCTCGGTGAACACTGCTACAAGACATTATGCTTGATGATTCACCAAACACCATCGTTGGAGGCCAAGTTTTCCGCCACCAGCGAGTTGTTCGTCCAGCAACCTTCTTTTTAGTCTTTCTTCAAGACTTCGTAGAGCAGCCGCGCAAGGCCTTTCCTTCACGTTAGGGTAGCGATCCTTCCTATAACGCTATCGCCATTCATTGTTACTTTTTACTACAATGACACTTCAGTAGTGTTTCTCAGAAAATAAAGTCAGCTGCCATCAGGCACAGAGTCAGCGCTCACCTAGATAGGCCTAGCGCATAATTATGATATAGCGCCTAGCAAGCACCTGGACTTGTAAAAAAATTATTTTTACAATATTTTTTAAAGTATTTTGCAAGTCTTCAATCATGTTTGCATGTACGCGCTATACTATCCAGCCATGTGGCGTGAAAGGATTGCTTGATGAATGTTGTCGTGATCATGAAAGGACTACAGTACAGACTAGGTACCACGACTAGGTAGCGCTAGCGAGTCCGCGGATGTCCTGACACGTGAAACGAAACGATTTTTTATCTTTTAGGCCGATTCCACACTACGCCGAAAGTGGCTTTGCCTTGAAGGCATGAAGTGGCTTATAAAGTGAAGCTGCATTCACACCTGCAAGTGTCGATCACGGGACTTTGCTTTGAAGGTTATAGTTACCCTGGTAACAGAATGGAAGATCACTTTTCCGGCTTGTGTACGAAATAAATAATTCAAAAGCATCTTGTCGAAACTAGTATTTGAAGAAGAAGAAAATAATGTTGTTCACGTAGATCTACTGCTTGTAGATGTAGTTGAGTTTTGTCTCAGTATGAGTGGTCCAGTCCGATCGGCCTCTGGTCGCCGGCGTCGTCGTTTGTACGAGCTAGCTATCGGGTATACGTCCGACATTGATATTCTCCAGACACAACCAAATTATTTTTTTCCTCGGCAGTCCATGGAAATGACAAACAATGTTTTGTTTGATTGCCTCGAGCCTGCATCTGCGTCCTCTTTCTTTGTCGTTCTTCTATTCATGATGTTGAATGAAAACATTTCTGTTGAGCGACGACTGTGGACAGCTCATCCGGAAAATGAACTTGGTTTGGCGGCAGGATTTTGGGAGAAGGAAGTGCTTGGCACCTGGGAGAACACAAAACAGAAGTCCAAGAGATGGTGGAAGGCAGCATGGATTGCGAACTTCAGGATGGAGCAGCGGACATTCTGTTTTATTCTACAGCGATACGGCCATTTGTTTGAGAGGCAATCCACTCACCTGCGCCGCACTATTCCCAGTAGCAAACGTCTGGCCATTGCCCTCTACTACTTGTGCCACTCCGAAACGTATAATGAATTGGCTGCATTGTTCCATGTGGGTGTCAGTACTGCTTCGTGCATTGTGCATGATGTTGTGGAAGCTCTTGTTGGAGAGGTCACCAGAGATAGCATATCGTTTCCTCAAGGAAATCAGCTGTCGAAAGTGATGCGCGGATTTGAGCAATTGTCAAATTTACCAATGTGTGGAGGTGCGGTTGATGGTACCTTTGTGAGAATCGTGAAGCCAGAGATTCATGGTGACACTTACTGGTGTTATAAGCAGCACTCTGCCATTATCGTTTTTGCCTGTGTCGACCATCAAGGATGCTTTACATTTGTTGATGTCGGAACTCCCGGTAAACTCGGAGATGCGGCTGTGTACAACAAGAGTGAGCTGAAGACCAAAGTGGAGCAGGGCATCTGGCTGAACAGAGCTGTTTGGAGAGCTGGCAACAAATACATTCGACCATTTTTGATCGGTGATAGTGCTTTCACCTTGAGCCCGTATCTCATGAAAATTCATGCCGGGGACAACTTGACTCCGCAGCAATCAAGTTTCAACTTTGCACAAATCCGGGCGCGCCGTATTGTCGAGTGTGCATTTGGTCGCCTCAAGGGACGGTTCACAGTTGTGTCACATTCCAACTCCAATGACCCAACTTTCATGAGCAAAGCTGTTCTCCTATGCTGCAGTCTCCATAACATCATCGAGCGCAGAAAGAGAGGTTACCTGCCTATTGTCCAGGACTATGCACCTCATCCCCTAGTTCCCATGCAGCACTCTCCAGCTGGGCAAATGCGGGATGCCCTTGGCACCTATC